GCGAGTTATCGGTCGGCTGGTGCTGAGGTGTTGTATTCCCTTCCCTTGTTATTTCCCTTATCATTATTATTATTGGTGGTAGCAGTAGTGATTTGTGTTATACCGTAGTTACTAAACTGTTCTTAACCCGTGGGAGTTGCATTCTTTTCAATTCTCCTTTCCATCCCTCCGGGAGTAGGGGCAGGACACGGGGAGGGGGGGGGAGTGAAGGAGCTGCGTGGCTGAGTTTAAACCACTACAGCACTACAGTTCTTTTTGGCACCCAACGTGGGGCACAAAGGGTTGAGAAAACGACAGATCTGACCAGATTAATAGTCACTCATCATAATGCTGATTTATTGGCTTTCAAAGTTCTTTCTCTTGATCTCACAGTTTCAGAATGTTGTAACTTAGAGACAGTATTTGCTGTGTTAATGTTCATCAGGTGTTGGGCTTGGGCTAAGGTTCTTGTCTCACTGTACTTTATGGCAATGACTTGTAATACAGGCAGGCTCCAGCAGCAGGGTGGGACGGCCGTGGCCGTGGACTTGTACCTGGCCGTCCCGGTGTTCTTCACCATCCTGGCCCTCGTCCTTGTCTCCGTCTTCGTGAGGCTGCGGGGAGCCGAGGGGGAGCGGCACCGGGAGCCAGTGGCAGCCGAAGCGGCCCGCGAGAGCGGGCCCTGGGACCAAGGAGGCCGGAGGCCTGCAGGGGGCGGCTGCAGGTGGAGGAGGTCGGGGCAGTCGAGGAGCAGAAGGAGGCGGCTGCCGAGCAGCGGGAGAAGGCGGCAGAGGAGCCGAGCCCTGCAGAGGAGCCGATCCCCGAGGCCGAGCACAGTCCCACGACAGCCGAGAGCATTCCCAGGAAGCCGTCTGCCGAGCGCCAGGAGGATGCAAGAGACCACACAGCATTTACCAGCAAGGCAGAGGAGGAAGAGCTGGACTCAGAAAAAAGGAAGCTGGTGGTGGGAGAGCTGGCAAGCACAGCAGCTACACCAGCCCCAGTGACAAGTACAGCAGCATCGTTTGAGAGTTCTGAGGTTTTGAATGGCCTTTGGGTACCCTTAGGACCTTCCTGCTGATTGTGATGGGGATCAGCGTGTTGGCACACATACAAACTGTGTTTTACCCATGACCATTTTGTCTGATCTCAGAAGTTAAGCAGAGTCAGGTTTGGGTCATGTCTAGGGTTAGATGACGATATAGGAGGACTAGGAGATTTTCCCCAAGGCTGGACAGTCATGAGTGGCAGGGTGTGTGGGACAGTGTGGGCGAGTATCTAGTCAGCTGGGTTCCTCCAGTGCTTTGGAAGCATCGGAGAAGGAAGGCAACTGTATAGAGTCCCCAGCAACAAGCTGCAAAAACTCCTGAAGGGGACAGTGAATTATTTTGAGTGGTGGGCCCATGGCACTTCAGGCCAGCAGAGCAGAGATGCAACATAGGGATGGACTCATGATCGAGGGGTGGACTTAGCAATGGACACTATTGCCCGGATGATTCACGAGTGTGAACACTGCACACAGCCTCTCCTGCTCTGAAAGACTGTTACAAGAGATGGAGCCTGACATCATGGACCAGATGGACTAAGCAGCTTTATAGGGACTGGTCCATGCACTAAGATAAGAGCGCACTGAGATAAGAGTAATGGTATATTGAAAATGTGGGATCTGAGCATGACGTGAATGGTATGGAATAAGGGGTGGATACTGTCCTGGGTTCAGCAGTAGCAGTCATTTTTCTCCTTCTTAGTAGCTGGTGCAGCGCTGTGTTTTGACTTTCGGCCTGGGAACAGAGCTGATAACACTGATATTTTAGTCTGACCAAGGACTTTCTGAGCCTCATGCTCTGCCAGGGAGGAGGGGAAGCCGGAAGGAAGCAGAGACAGGACACCTGACCTAAGCTAGCCAAAGAGGTATTCCATACCAAAGCACGTCATGCCCAGGATGTAACTGAGTGTTACCTGAAAGGGCGAGGGACTGCAGGGTTGGATGAGGTATCGGTTGGTGCTCGGCTTGGGGGAGTGGGGTGAGTTATTGGTCAGCTGGTGCTGAGGTGTTGTATTCCCTTCCCTTGTTATTTCCCTTATCATTATTATTATTGGTGGTAGCAGTAGTGATCTGTGTTATACCTTAGTTACTAAACTGTTCTTATCTCAACCCGTGGGAGTTGCATTCTTTTCGATTCTCCTCTCTGTCCCTCCGGGAGTAGGGGGAGGGCAAGAAGGGGGTGTGGGTGAGTGAACAAGCTGCGTGGCTGAGTTTAAACCACTACAACATGGTATGATAACCTGGTTGCATCTCTTTCACTCAATTTCATAAGTGTAGATTTAGATTTAGCACAACCTGTGCTACCAACACAGGTCAGACTCATGGCGGAAAATTTTTTCTGTTGTGAAGAATTAGAAATTATTAAAAAAAAAAAAAAAAGGCTCTTCAGAATTGGCATACTTTACCAAAAAGCCCATCAGAAAGGAAAGGCAAAGCCGTTACTCTCCAGTAGCACTCCCTTGTGCATCAGTTTGGGAAACAGTAAAGGCAAATCGAAGTGAGTGACAATGCTGTTGAGCTGGCATTAGCCTGGCCATACTCCGCTGGGCCGATCTTGCTGGCTTTCAGTACAGACACTTTTTTACTACTTTGCCCCATATCTTAGACTGAGTAGGAGAGGGTGGATGTACTCCCATGCTCTGACCATCTAATAGCTTCTGATAGCTGCGCTGGCTTGTATAGGCATGCATTAAATCAAGGTGCCCAGCACTGAGGGACACGCTGCAACATCTGCATATGACTAAGAGTCAGAAGATGTACAGCATTCTTTGTCAAGCAGCAGGGGCGGAGGGGATAACCCCACCCCAGCAGATGTTAGCGACAGGACTTCTGGAGAGCAGCTTGTTTGTGCTGGTTGGGTGTGCAGCTGGACCACAGAGAGATTTGGGAATTGCTGGCTTTAGCAGCTTCTTTCTGTGTGTTTTCCCAGCTCTGCGGAGCTGTGCCATGGAAAACCTGGAGTACGCACTACAGCAGGGGAGCGTGCAGCAATCTCACAGACCTGGTTCACCAGTCAGTGAACAGGAACAGACATATTTGAGAAATAGCTTTCTCTGTATTCTTCACTACTTTCTTTTTTTTTTTCTTCCCTTTCAGTTTTCCAGAAGTTTCCTTGCTTCTTGCATGAATTTTAACAATACAGGTGTTGTCTTTTCAGCAACTGCTAACCTGTATCCCTTTCACATGACCTGTTTTCCAGCACATGGGCTGCAATGCTAGGTGTAACTTGTCAAATGCAGCTGAGACTGCCAAAATGTCTAAGCCCAGTGGGATGAATTAGAGGTGGGGGGCATTCTGAAATCTGAAGGATTTTTGTTGTTTTTTTAATTCAGACAAGCATGGTCGGATTTCATTTAGTAATTTTATTTGTTGTTGTTGTTTCAGTGGCTGCAGGGGGTGTTCGTTCTAGGTCAATGTTTTACAAATTTTGTTCTTCAGTTAGACACCTAAAACCCAAGTTTAGGCACCAAATAAGGCTTAATTCTCATTAGTACCCAGTATGTGCAGCTCCCATTGAAAGCAAACGAATACAGCTTTCCATACTTCAGCATGTTTTTGTTATGATTAAACAGACACTCATAAAACTTAGGCAAGATGGAGTCAAGTTTCACATGAAACTGAATTGACATTTTTTGTTAATGGGATCCTTGTAATTAGTGATTACCAGATACATGTGAAATCTGTGAAATGCCTGCAGGAATGGGAGTTAGGAGGGGGGAGTGATGCCAAACACCTCAGTTCTTCTCCTGGCAACCTTTCATTTTATATTTCTGCTCTGCACATAGATGAAGCAGCATGGTTTCTATAAAATGTTCAGCTGTGTTTTCACATTAAGTTGATGTTACCAATAAAGACAGTGACTTGTAAGTGAATACTTACTTGCTTATAAATAGCAGGTTTCACTCTTTATGGCTCCCCACTTTTTTCCAGTGGTCGCAATTGTAAGTATCCTTACAGTAGATCTTATGAAACCTGCCAGTCTTCTAATTCCAGCAACTATCATATGATACGGTTTGTAATTTTGATCTGAAGAGGAGAATAAGGCTTCTGGGCTCGTTTTCTATTGAGCTAGAGATGTCCCCCATAGCCTGCAGAAGCATACCCAGGGCTGTTACCCACCTGCAGCACAGGAGGATAATGATTCCTCTGCATGAGGGGGCATTGGCTCATTCATTGTGCCATCTGTTCTCCCACTTGTGATGGAGAGTGGGTGGTGCCTCATAAAATTAAGAAAAACAAAACACCTAAACATTACTGTTTTCCCTGTTGGATTTTTCATCCAAAAAGGAATATCTGAATGTGGACTGCTTATTTTTTCCCTGGTGTGTGTCCTGTTCTCTGGGAGGGGTGTTTTATTTTCTTCTCTCCTTTCTTTTTGGAAATGCAGTGCTAGACACTAAGTGGCTCTGACCAGAGGAAAGGTTATTAGGAGATTTTATCATTCTTGAGCAACATGCTTGTGCACAACAACTCCTTTTCTCTCCAAGTGATCTTAATCAGACATATTACTCAAATCCTTTTAGATTTGGAGCAGTAATTTTACTGGATGCTTCGATGAAGCATATGAATTTTCTCATTAGCATGAAAACACACTTAAACTCCAGAGCATGTAAGATAGTTGATTCTTGTAGGATAAATAATAAAAGTCCTTTTTTGCAAGACTTCCAATGTTCCTCTGACTGCTGACAGCTTTGTTCCTTGGGTAGACTCTTGCCACTGCACCCAGAGTTACTGTTCCTACCCTTGCAAGACTGTCCCTGACAGAGTGGTAGACTTGAGAAAGGATGATGCTGGGAAGTAGACTCTCGGCTTGCTTATCAGCCATTTATAATATATGAATAGAAAAACAGAAATGCAAGCAAGATACATTTCTCTCTTCTTGTTGTAATCATGTACTTAAATTTTTCTTCCTAGACTGTTAGTCTTTTTCTTTCTTGAAGTCTGATTTTTTTTTTTCTCTCCCTGTTTTTAATAGGTTCCCTGTGAGCAGCTCAAGGGGAAGAATAAAGATGCAGAGGATTGACCAGAACTGTGCCCCCATCAGTGTATTGAGATGGAAAGGTATTAACTATCTTAATTTTACATAGACAAACTTTTATTTTTTAAAAAGTAATTTACATTACATTACTAGAAATATATAGTTGTGTTTTGTGCATATGTCAATTATTTTCTCTTCCAGAGATCCAGGTTAGTACATTTTTTTTTTCTCATTCCTCCCCCACCCCCCTTTTAATCTGTCCTGTGGAGATCTGTATCAGTTCTGTTTAGATAAATGAAAGATGGAACTATACTGAGAAGAGCAAAATCATAGAGAATAGTGCAGGCTGGAAAGGAGCTCTGGACATAATCTGGACTGACCACCTGCTCAAAACAGGGCGAGAGAATACAGGGCCTGTCTAGTTGACTTGTCAACATCTCCTAGTATGGAGATTGCACAACCTCTTTGAGCACCTGCATCTTTACTAGTATCAGTTCTAATGGTAATGGCAATAAAAGAGATTGTTTGTGATTCTACTGATAATGGCAGTAAAAGAGATTGTACTGTAGGATATAAAGAGGTCACATTATGGTTGCAGCCTCTAATGAGGCTGTGATGATGGCAATGCCTTTCTAAGACTGTCAGTGACTAATAAGGAGCTTTAAGAAAAGTGATGGTGCCAAGTGTTTCCATGAATGCTGAATTCTGCAAGATGATCTCTGGCCAAAAACAAGTAAGTATTTTTGAGGTAGCTGAGAAGGATTAAAAAGCATTAAGTATAGTGTGTGGGTTTGAGAGAGAGATAAAAAGAGAAATTGTTTTAAGGTAACTGTAAATTGTTTGGGCAAGCTTAAGAAATAATACCTTAACCTCCTTTCTTCCTGTAAGAAGCATATTTCCCAGGTTAGTTTATTGTGAAATAACTGGATTTGAAATCCCTTGTGGGCTGGGATTTCCCATTTATTTAGGACATTGTGAACTGCTGCCAGTGTAGTTTGACTCCAACCTGTGAAGAGAAGGAGGCCTCAGGTTCCCATCTGGCAATGGCACCCCTGGTGAAACTGTATGCCAGTTGCTGGCAGTTCAAGCCCCAGACCTATGCTGCAAACAGCTGTGCAGCAAGCTTTCTCTGCCTTTCAGCTCTGTTGCCTAAGCTACCACCAGCAAGAAGTTGGCTTGACTTGACAGTCTTCCATCAGCTACTGTACATTAAATTTCTTGGCTGCATTTCCCAATGGTGTTCATCTGTTGATTTTGCTAGCATTGTTAGTACATCACTGAAAATACCTCAGGCCTGTGTGGGAGACAGACCCAAATGAATCATGGACTTGCTTTCCTCCAAGGGTGCAGCCCAGCTGTGAGCCCAGGTTGGAAAGGTGTTGGTGATGCATCCAGATCCTGGATGAGGCTGAACTAGGGGGTAAATGGGATGAGCATAAGTCTTGTTCTATTTGTGGTGATGCCCAATTCAGGAGAAGAAAGAATAGTAGTGGAAAGTACCAGTTAAAAACATCAGCCATGTAATTACATCAGAATCATAGCTTCCCACAGAAATCATTATATGTAAGACCTGAATCGACTCATCATGCTCAAGCTATATCTGCAGGGCAAGCATCTAGTCAGAAAGGGCTGTGGAAGGGAATCCTTTCAACAAGGTCCCTACTGAGGCTAAGAAAATGTCCTAGAAGGCATACCAGCTTTTCTGGCTATTTGACTTCATAGAAAAAGAGCAAGCACTGGGAAAAAAAACAAAAACAAAAACAAACCCCAAAACAAATAAACAAGCATACAAACAAAAACACACACCAAAAAAAAAAAAAACCAGCCAAACCCAGATTTGTCACTATTCTTGTTTTTAAAACTCTTAGTTTTCAGATCTTTCAGTGCTTTCCTGCCGTCTCCCACCAACTTCCTGCATGTATGAATTTCAGTGGGAGAATTCATCTGCTCAGAAAGCACCTGCTTGCTCTGCTTGTCTGAGCTTTCCATTTGACTGATTTTCATGACAACACTTCCCTTTCTGTTAGTGATCCACACGCAACTATGTGAGTCCTGGGTGATGAGTCTGGGTGACAGTGCTCCATTTACTTCTTCTTTAGAGAGACAGACATCTGTAACTTGCTCATGGCTCATGTAAAGCCTGAGAAAGTTGGTAAAAAAAAATTTAATTGGCTTTCCTGAGGTTGGAACTCAGCCTAACAGCAGTCCATCAGGAAGAAATTTGATTATGGTCTTGGTAGTATAATTAAGCAGAAGATCCCAATGAAGGGGAATGATACATTCCTGATGTACAGTCTGTATAGGGTACAGGAGTGATGTGGCAACATTGAAACCCTGTCCCAGAGAATAGGAACCTCCCAGCTCAGAGGGAAACAGCACCATGTGATAAGGAATGTGGCATTTAACGTGAACCAGTTAGTTGTTGTCTTTTTACATGTTGCATATTTGTTGAGAGAAATAGTCAAAGGCTGGGAGACACTAAGTGCCTGTGTATCAGTTAGCTTTACTTCTCAGATGGGATGGATTATAGGTGCGGCTTCACTTAACCACTGCCCTCCCCCGCTCCCCCTCTCCCCCCCCCCCAATTTTTATTTTTGCTTATTTTCAAAGAAACCAGATGTGTTTCCATTAAAACACTCACCTCTTCTGTTGTTGTGATTTGTGTAATTCCTGAAATTAAGCAAAACTGTTAAATTGTTTGTGTTCACATTAACAGCACACAGCTTCTCCAGATGTGGCATTTGACAGCCAAACACCTGCTAGCTATTAAATGTGCCTTAAATGTACCTTCATTCCTTTGTTGTAAAGGGAACAGAAGTGTAGGGACGTTTATGAGGTGATAGGCAGATGTTTTGGCCACATCAGATTCGAGCAAAAGTTTAACTGGTTTCTCTGCTATAGTTGCAGTACGTACATGATTTAACCCCTATCATACACCTTGCCTTATGGAGCTCTCCTCTTGGGAATGGAGTAAGATTATTTCTAATCTTGCACCTCCCAAGCAACAGTACCAGCACTTTTTTTGCAAAATCTGGGACATCTCGCTCCAAGGGCAATGCAGTTCTTTTGCTAGGTGGCTGCTGCTGCTAGTGGATGGCTTTCCAGCTCCCTCTCCCTTTGAAATACTGGATGAATTTTTTTGTTTTGTGAAACTTAAGTGAAAAATTAAGTTGGAAATAACTTGAAAAGATATATTGTCATTTTTTAAAAAGCTTGCTTTTAAAGTACTTCTTCCTAATGGCAAAAGGCAGGTGTTCTTTTCTGTTTGTACCAATACGTTACACTTTTTGCCCAATAAAGTGTTTTTTATAGTGGTACATGTGAGGTGGGATGTAGAATGAATGGAGCTCAATTTCAAGAGATAGGGCTCAAATTCCTAAGCCTGAACTCTGAGTGGAGATATGCTTGCTGGGTGTTGAGTATTGTAATAGCACCACTGACCCTTGGGGAGAAGCACCACACTGCAACTATTCTCTATCAGCTCAGAATCTACTAAACTTGTAAGAGCAAGTTTGTAAGATGCAAGTTTTTTTTCCTCTAACAAAAGTATTTTGTTTTCTTGGCAAAATTTTGTTCTTCACATTGCTTGTTGGACTGGAAATTCTTTGCTGTTTAGTCTTAACTGGATAAGATAATAATATAAAAATCCTAATGTTTACTTGAAGAAAATCTAGGAGTTCTACAAAAGTGGATTAAAAGAGAGTAAAAAATCCTGTAAAATAATATGGAACATAAAAGAATAGACTTGTTCTACAGATAAACTGTTATTTTTAAGACTTATATGCCTAATTTTATTCTTAATTTAACTCTTTCTAGTACAAATTAGATTAAATATTATGTAATCCAGGTCTCATTCTCTCCCATATTCTAAAGGCTTCATTTCTGCAGTGGAATGAATTGTTATAAATAAGGGGGGATACTACCTGAAACGGTTTGCCTTGAAATTTGCCATGTTTTTAAATCTATCCAAACAAGCTCATCCTCCATAATTCAAATGCAGAAACTAATTTCTTTTTGTGGATCTGCTCCTTAGGCTTAACCAGGCAAGAATCTGATGTCACAAATATCCACTCTCAGAGCTGAAACATGTGTTTAACCCCTAGACTCTCGAATTAATTTCCTGTCAAAACATGACTCTGTGGTATTGGCATCTGGTTGTAAATCTTGGTTTAAAACTTCTCTTTTTTTTTTTTTTCACAATTGTTTATGGTGTGTATTTGTGCTTTCACCAAACACAGAAGAATGACCCCAGCACACCAATGTTGAAACTATTTCAAATAGGATTGTATGTCTTCAGTATTAATATTTTGCAATAAATGCCTTGGGACAAGTTGTCAGTACCTCCATTGTTGTCACATAACTGCTGTTAGTAACTAATAATACCAGTTCCCAATGAAAACCAGGGAGAGCCAAGGTCTCACAAATCGTACCAGCTGCAGACCTGGGACTCTTCATGGGGCTTTTTAGTTCCTGGCTATTTGATAAACATGAAACATATAAAAGCATGTATTAGTGGGAGTTGTTCTGTCTTCTGCTGCTTCTCCTGAGTGAAAAAGATGGACTGCAAGGATGCCCTTGACGTTACCATAATCTGCTGGTGACCACACCTCACACTTTCTTTCTGGTGCCATCACATTCTGGCTTTAGTTTTGGACCAAATATAGTTTTTTGAATCAGTCACATGCCTTATTTAATAAAATTCCCTCTGCATGTACAATCAGCACTTCACTGCCTAACCCTCTGTGGACAGCATGGTTTATTTAGCTGGGTGGCATTGACCTATGTAGGAATTTAAGTCCCATTCACATACAAAGCATGTGCTAGGCACAATTATTCTTACAGGTCCCAGCTGAAACACTGACTTTCTGTAAAAACTATGCAGCCATTGATAATTAATTACAAAAAGCCGATAGAGCCTATCGGTGAAAATGGTGAAAAGATGTACCAGAGAATAAAAAGTGAAAACAATTTTAAAGGCAGCTAAGTGAAAACATGGGAGAAATGAAAATATCTTTGATGTGGTGCAGTTAGTCTCTAGCAGTGAAAACTGCCCTGTTCTCTTTGATGATGAAAGAGAATAATAAGAAAATTCTTGGAGGATGTGACTAGAAGGATATTGGCTACTACTTTTCAGATATGACATGGAAATTATGAGCAAGCTGCTAAAAGTTATGCTGAGAGACCATCTTTCTTCATTACAGCTGTAGGTTCTGCTTCCCTGTGAAATGTCTTGATTTTCCCA